TATCTTGATGTAAGTTGCCTTGACAAAAAGTGTCTTTTTATTGACTTTTGAAATGACCTGTAATGTATTGGCTCATATTTCTAAAATGAAGAACTTGTGGAATTGAGAATTAATACAAAGATGTAGATAATTTAATTTCCTCCAAAATGGGCTTTGGTTGGGGAAAAGTTGATGAAGCATGTGAAAGTTATGCTTGGTCAAAGTTCAGTTGACTTCTTCTAAGGAAACCCTAATTTGGCAACTTTTGACTTTTGACGATTTGAGGACTTTCCTTGAGGAATCATGATCAAACCTTGATCCAATGATTAATATCACTTAAAAATGTTGATGTTGACCAAAATTCTTGAAATTTTGACTGTATGTTAACCATAGTTGACTTTTTACCCAATACAGTTGATTTTCAATCATTTGAGTCATTGTCTGAGCAAACTTGAGATGCAAGACTTGAAACTTGACATGTACATTGTTGAAGACCTATGGAGAACCATGGAAACCCCTTGAGACCTTTTCAACCCAAATTTCCTTGATAAAATCCTCTAAGTTTCCCATGGACGCCTCCTCTTGGTTGTTTTATCCAAAATTTGCCAATGAGGGAGATAGTTATTTCTCTGAAATTATGATTGGCATAAATTTTGGTAAAAATAACTTTGCAGCAACATGTTGAACAAGATGTTTCAACTTGCAGATTCAACATGTCGAATATGATGTCTTAACTAAAAGTATACAACATCTGGTCTATTACAGTTTTGCAGTTTGGAAAATGTTTCAACTTGCAGTTTCAACATGTCGAATGTGATGTCCTAACCAGAAGAGTAGGACATTTGGTCTGCTATAGTTTTGCAGTTTGAAAGATGTTTCAACTTTCTGTTTGAACATGTCGAAAGGAATGTCCTAACTAGAAGTATAAGACATTAGGTTTGCTATAGCTGACAGTCTAGATTCATTTGTTGTGATTTAATTACTGAATATTCTGGGAATATTTAGTAATCCTATGTGGCGTCCTATGTGACAGTTCTTTATCAGCTTGAACATGTTCTTATCAACTCCATTGAACATGGAATTTAACACTTTGGAGTTTCCTTTAGATGATGACTAATCATCATCATTCCAATCTTCTTTAGGCTTTAGCACATCAGTAACCTTTTCATCTGCACCCACAACCTTTGGTGGATCCCGTCCTTTGACAACATTTTCCAAGCCTTATTGCCCAGGGATTTTATGCACATTTCCATACAAGGTTTCCAACTGTCATAGTTGGTACCATCCATAATAGGTATTGTAACCACAATTCCACTATCCTTTTCCATTGCACCAGAAAGTAACTTCCCTGAATCTCATCTAGAGTCAGAGCAGGATGCCTGCTCTGATACCAATTGAAGTTCTGGCTATCATATCCCGAATTTCCTAAGAGATGTCGAGACACCATAACCGGATTAAAAATACAACAACATGATATATAAATAAACAAACAATACTGAAGGTAAATAACAGACATATATGTTTATCCATTTTGGTGACAACAACACCTACTCGGGGGGCTACCAAGTCAGGGACAAAATTAACTAGATAGTATCAATTTGTAGACCACACAACAAATATACCAGTTTATAATCTAGGCACTTAATCACTATCCTTTTCTTAAATTCTACCTAAGACACGCCTAGGTATGAGGCCCTTCTCAAATCCCTCTTAAATCACACTCAACGATTGGAGTAACTCTAAACACAGTAGAGAACAAAAACAGGAAGTCACTCTTCCAAGACACACAATCCTCAATTCTTAAAAGCTTGTAAGAACTAACACACAAATACTTAATATTTAAAAGCTTATGAGCATCTGACACACAAACATTCAATGTTTAAAAGCTTATGGATGCTTGACAAAACTTACAACCCAAAATAGTCCTAATTTTCTATCAAGGTGATATTAGAGAGGCTCACAAATAAGGATTCTAAAACCCTAACAAAAACACACACGTAAGTTCCACCTAAAACTAGGTATACACAAGTTTATTTATAACATTATTCTGGACTGGGTTAGGCTTCAAAATCGCAGCAGTGAGGTTGTACAAAGTATGCAAAATCTTTTGCAATTAAATAGGTCTTCTATCATTGGTTTTCTAAAATGTCTTCATATTAAGAAACTTTGCATATCTTTGAAAACCAACATAGAATCTCTAATTTGTCAATCTTGGACGCTGCATAAGCTAACTTAAATACTCCCTGAATATTCAGTAACTAACATATCAGCTGAATCATAATTGTCAGGTGTTACAGACACAATGTCTTATCATCCTGATTGGGACATCTTATTCGATATTTTAAAAACTGCAAGTTGGAACATCTTATTCAACATGTTGCTGCCAAGTTGGTTTAACCAAAACGTATGTCAATAAGAATTTCAGAGAAATAACACCTCCAAAGAAAATATTTAACTACATCTCACAATACTCTAATACAAGAGTATAAGAGAAAATAAAAATAAAAATACAAACTTATAGTATTTTTTACTGGTGCATCTTGTAAAGAAAAACTTGAATTCTATATATAGCCTTGTACTCCTTCTTTATTCACTAAAATAAGTGATGTGGGACTTGGAAAAACTTTAATTTTATATATAGTCTTGGACTCCCTCTTCCTTTACAAAAATAAGCAATGTGAGACTTCTTCAATATGTATATTTTCAATAAACCCCAACAGAAACAAGTCTACTAAATTCTAGATCTTGTCAAACTTTAGAGAACACACCTAGTCATTTATGGATTTTTTAATAAGTCTACATCCATAGATGATAAAATTCTTGGAGGTTTATTGTATCCTCCTTTAATGTGTATATCGTGCATATCACTTGCTCTCTTAACTCTCTGAGGTTTTCTTTCTTCTAGCTCATTGTTTTTATTGTTGATCACGTGAATGTGACTTATTCTAAAGCATCTATTATTTCTTGATTTAAAAGAGAATATATTTTCATGAAATTCAATATTATTTGACTTTGCAATTTCACCTTGGCATTTGATTCATAAAAAATATTTTTTTTTATTTACTACATACGTAATGAATGCATATTTATAGGCTCTACTATTTTATTTTTTACAAGATTAAGAAAATCATGATATATAACTTCATAAATAAATTGGACCCATAAATTTTGATACAAATGTTTTCAAAATAAAGTATCACAATCTATCTCTTTTAAAATTTGAATAAATCAAAGACAATAGAAAAAGTATCATAACCACATAGTCACAAGATTATATCCATAACCATGTAAACCAACATACATACTACCTAAAAAAAAGAAGATAATATCAATTTATAAGTTTAATTTCATCCTCAAGGTCAAAGACTCAACAATCAGTCATCAACATGTTGCTAATAAACACCTGCAAACAAAAAAAAATACAATAAGAACACACATAAAAACATAAGATATGAGATTCAAACAATTTTTAAACAATATGATAACTTCAATGTATAGAATAAACACCCCAACCATATAATCATAATATGATATAATCTATCCATACCATATGATCATAATCTCAAGTTTTTTCATTCCAAATCATGGTCCATATTTTGTTATATTATTTTAATATTTTCTAAAGTCAACATTTTTATCTCTCATTAAAACATAAAAATATTTTCTTATATCTATGTGATATTCTAGACTCAAACCATTGTTTACATATGAGTGTCCTTATAAATGTAAGTTTATAGTAAATAACACTCAAATTTTTTATAAACCTTATTTTATTACTGTTCACTTACAAAAAAAATACAAAGATCTTAACATCTATATAAAAAAAACATGTGCTTGTTTTCTCACAAACTTCAAAACTTATCCCCGTAACATCAAATCATTCCAAACAACTTTATAATGTATTAATCACATACATTTTAATCCATACATATAAAATCAACAATTCAATTGTTCAACTACTCCCAAGTATTTCAATATATACATATAAAAACAACAACATATCATACTACACATCATTACCGAAATATCTTACACATCATTATTAAAATATCATATACATAAAAAACTTATTGGAATGCGACAAATTTGAGGTCTTTGGATAATTTCTCTTTAATCAATATATAGGTGGTAGTCCCAAATTGAAATATGAAACTCGATTTTTCAAATATTGTCCATCGCGCTAATTTTATTAGGCTTGATGCATGGATATAAATAGTGGAATGACAGATAGCCCAATCGATAGAATCATATACCATCTTAAAATTTTAGTTGGGCCTAAATAAACCTTATAAAATTGGTTTGTAAGATGGGGATAATCATCCACTTATAAACATGCTTTCAGATCATATTTCATTTGGTGTGAGACTCTTAATACCACAAACATCTAAAACTAGATATCTAGAGCATAACCCATGTGTCTAAATAGAGGAAACATGATAGTAAGTGATCTAACATATCTTTGACAAGATCTAATATTGTCTTATAATTTGGGTTGAATTTAACTCAACCTTACTAAACTGACTTGTAAAATGATAATCTCTCCAACTTATAAACCAATTTGAAAGTCATATATCATTTAATGTATATTTGTTTACGAGAAAAAAGTTATTTTGTAAGAAATAAAGTATGAAGGCTATAGACTCAAAAAATAAGCCTTAACAAAATAACTCAAATACATCATATGGTAAACACTTGTGTAAAAATACACAGTACTAGTAATTATAATGAATTGAATCACACATATTAAAATAGTGTTTAATGATTTTACGATAAGGTGAATAGATTTCATAAGCATTCTGAAAGTCACTCAACTCTATTTTAATTATATTACAACTCAAATTATAACTCAAATACCAACAAACATAAATTAAACATAAAAATATAAATAAAAAAATATTCAAAGGAAAACATTGAGACTGTTAAATTCCTTACATTTTTATAACAACAAATATGATTATAAATATGAAAGTTACCTTGGAGAAGCAATAATATTCTTAGATTTCAATAGCTTCCAAATTAAATCAGGTTTTAGACTTCACTATGATTGACAGGTAAGGTGAAGCTCTTGGTAGTGATAATAGATCATTTGCCTCATCAACAAACCTTGAATCACAAATCACATTGATCTTTTCCATAACACATGCTCTTGTAATTAAATGTTTCAAAAATTTCACTTCTTGCACTTTTCCTGTAAATCCTCTCATTGTTACAAATTTTATCTTGTGATTGATACAGTTATACATTTGTTGTCTTTCCCAAAAAATTGACTTAGGATACGGTAGTTCACAATCTTCAAAAGCTTCAACTATCTAGAAAAACATAACTTAATTTCAAACATTACAGATTATATAAAATAGACTCATTATTCAATATATACATATTAATAATCTAATAACATAAAGAAGATTAAAGTATAATAAGATTAATAATAACATACCGGTATAGTAATTTCAAGAGTTTTGAGATGGATACATGACCTTAGTATGTATGAAAGGGGCAAAACTTCTCTAAGATTATTCAAATTCAATTCAATTGACAAAGTCAATAGAAATAGAAAAATGTTGGTCATTTGATATTCCTGCATCATAGTGATACATAACAAATACAATTATATGCTATACCAAAACAAAAATAAATATGGATTCGTACAACTAGGCATATTCATGTTATCCCAAACCAACTATTCATCATTTTATGCAATATCCATCCAAAAATAAATAATAAAGATTAAATACGTGGTTTGAAACTATCAACTTAAAGAATATAAACTCCAGACACAATAATGGTTGCACTCAAGTCGCAATCTTTGATATTATGGATAATCGCACTCAAATGCACCTTCAATTGCAATCACATAGATATCAAATAATTTGATTTCAAAATCTAGAATGCAATGACAAACCTTTTTAAAATCATGATTATGATTGCAATCAAGGTTTTAGAATACACGTTATTAATATCATAATCACAACTATAATTGTGGTTGCTTCAATTAGATTTATTTTTAAAATTAATGGTATATCAAAAATAAAATATAAATCTCAAAATTAATCAATCATAATTTATAACCAATATAAAAAAATAAGAAGAGAGAGCACTTACAAAAAGATCACTGCAATTTTCAAGAATTTCATGAGTTTTCAGACTCATTTGTGTGGTTTGATCATATGAAGATGAAAATGTCCTAAGATTTTGAGAATAAATTTTAAGACATTTTCCTGGGCAAACTAGAGAATCAATCACAACAACTTGAAGGTCCTCGGCATAAACTTCTATCTCTTTGACCCTTAACTTCTTAAGCTCCAAAAACTTAAGACCAGGGCTTTTAATTTTGAGTATATCGAATCCGATTGAACCAATAAGACTAAACTTTTCTAAACCCAAACATTTTTTCAAAATTCCATTGATGGTTTCGTTCTTCATTTTCATCTTCTTCAATTTCAAGATCTTCAAATTTTCACAACTTTCAAACGCAGATAAAACTGATCTCGCTAGAACATAGTTTGTTAATTCCAATGAACACAAGACCGAAAATATCTTAGATCGAAAATTAGGTTTCATATCTTTTATATCATAGCAACAAATTGAACTCCAACATTCTAGACTCAAATGAGTCATCTTTTTGTTTTTCTCCATCACATACTCAATCCATCCTTTCACATCCCCAACAATAAGATTTTTAGGCAAATGTATAAATCGACAACTAATCAAATCACCAAGATGATGATGTAATATGGAATTAACAAGCTTACCATATTCTCGAGCATCTTTACCCGTTGCATTAACAAATGATTTCATCATGCGAGTGCCATCAAAGTCAAGGTGTGGAGCATACTTCCATAAAGGTATCCATCTCTTTGAAAGGATGCTGCTTCTCACAGCTTCATCGATGGAAAGAGAAGAGAGGATGGAAGATAAAACGCCATCTGGTAGTGTACTTATGAGATCTGGTTTTCCTTGATTTCTGTTTACTCTTTCATTCGCACGCACCTTCTTCCTTGTGATTGGTCTCATCATTATTTTAGGAATCAAATTTCTCAAGAGATATCACTCTCAGGGAAATACTTATGTGAGGAAGGTTGTCTACTAGTATTTTAATATATAAAAATATCATGTTTTAAATATGTAGTTAATTCTTGCAAATATATAATTTTTCAGTTGATTATATTACAGTTTTTGTTCCTCTATTTTACCTGATTCATAAAATTGATCCCCCTATTTTAAATTCAAACTGTTTTATCTCCCTCTCACATTTTCATAGAAAATCGACGAAATGTTTGTTTTTAACTTATATTTTTATTTATAAAGTTTCACAATATGTTTATATATGATGATTTCTCATGTTTCACAAGAAACTTGGCATTTAAAAAATTAAAAAAAAAATCGCTAATTTTAAATGCAAAAGTATGAGAGAAGACTAAGACTATTTGAATTTAAAATAGAAGTTCAATTTCATGAATCGAGTAAAATAGGAGGACCAAAACTACAATTAAATATTTTTAATTTTAATCCCTATTACTTATTTAGTTTGGTTTTAATCCTTGTTAATTAGTTTTGGTTTTTGTAATTTTATTTTTGCCCTTCCCAATTAATGTTGAAATTGATCCATGTAATATATAAAATATTTGATTTTAATCCCTCCAATATTAATTAATATATAAGAACTAAAATCAAATATTCTACAAATATTTAAAAATATAAAACAATCAAATCGACACAATTTTTTAATATATTATACAATTAAGTCTTGTCCAATATATGTTAAGGCCTAATATATCACGACCCGGATCGCGCGTAAGATGTCGTGCAACGACGTTCGTTGCCCTTCAGCTTCGCCACTGACTCAGGATAATCGACGAGCATCCTCTCTGTCTTCCCGACTCCAATGTCGTGCAGACCACTAGAAACCGATCAGAGAGATGTTCGTAATTAGTCCCTTCCTCGGAACCAACTGTTAGTTACGGGCACATCCATCCGGTTTGACCAAGTTCTGGTTGTTACCTGATTTTCCAGAGCCACATATCTAGACGAAAAATCAAGAATCAATGGCCACGCGCCAGAGATATTATATAAACCCTCACACCTGTGAGGGCCAAGTATCATATATTCACTACTCACTACCTGATATTTCTGCTTGCACCTCCCAGTTCCCGCTTTTACTTGATCGTTGGAGTGTCTTGCAGGTACGATCCCCTTTTCTCTTCAGATTACAGCTCGACTGCAGATCATCCTCCAACCACTCATCAGGTTCTGATCAACCCACAAGATCAATATATATATATATATATATATATATATATATATATATATATATATATATATATATATATATATATATATATATATATATATATATATATATATATATATATATATATATATATATATATATATATATATATATATATATATATATATATATATATATATATATATATATATATATATATATATATATATATATATATATATATATATATATATATATATATATATAAATTGGTGAAACATATTTTATATTTATTTATATTTTGCATTAATAATGTTTTTTTTTTGCGTTTTTAGTTTTAAATAAGTTTTAAAAGTCATGAAATATTTGTAAAAAAAAAACACATGCAGTTAAAATATAAAAGATCAGTTTAAGGTGATAAAGGATCGAATTGAAATTCAAAAAATAAAAAGACCAAAATATTATTAAGGTAAAACACAAAGGACGGAAGAATATAATTGACCATTAATCTATTTTATGTCTTTAATTGAAATTCTTATATAAGTTAAGTTAGAAAATAATAAGATAGAAAAATAAAAATAAAAATAAGAATTAAATATTTATCTTTATAAATATATTTTAAAATATAAAATTTAATTAAAAAAATATCAATAAATATTATAATATGATATTAAATTAAAATATATAAAAATTAATAAATATTTTACCAAAATTATAATATTTTAAAATATATAAATATTAATTAAATTTTTAAAATATTTAATATTGTTAATGAATTAACTTAATTTTAACATTTTAACATTTTGTACTTATTATTTATTAATCTTAAAACAACCTATTATAAACAATAACATATAAATAAAAATTATGTTACAATTATCTTAAAATTTGATAATACTGTAAGTGATGTGTTAATTTTTTAAAAGATTAATGTTTAGGGAGAATACACTGGAATTATTTAACTTTTATATTAAGGTGGATACGGTAGTTTAATTAATAAATTGTTGATTTAAAATTTGATCATTAACAATAATATTTATTGTTTAATTAATAATATTTATTGCAGAATCATACTTTGTATAAAAAGTAAAAATGACACGTTTTTATTTTACTTTTGTTATTATTATTTTTAAAGTAAGAGGTAGGTAAGATGTTATCATTATACTTTATTCAAAAACTTTTACTTATTATGAAATTTTTACTACTAGACTATTAAATAAAAAAAACTAGTTTAAATATATTCTTTCTATCCTGTTATATTTTATTCATTTATAAAAAAAATTAAAAAAAATTAATAATGAGTATATATAATACAATCCTAAAATATTAAATAAAAGTGACTTTTTTAATTATTATTTTTTTGCAAAACTTGAAAAAGAAAAAAAATATTTGTATTAGTAATAATATTTTTATTATTATTATTATTATTATTATTATTATTATTATTATTATTATTATTTATAATGGTGCTAATTAAATTAAACTTAAAAATAAAATATATATTTTTGACCGAAATGACTAGTTATTTTCCCAAATAAAAAAAGACGAATTTATTGACATAAAATATATATATTTTTTTAGTTTCATATTAAGAGGATCCTCTCAATTAAATTGGAGATCATATTTTAATTTTAAAAATTAACTTTTAATAAAAAGAAATACACACAAATATAAAAAAGAATAATTTTGTATTTAATTTTTAAAGAACATTAAAATCTAAAAAAAAAATTAATAAATATTTCAATGTCGTCCTCGTTACCTAAATAAATTCGCATTGTTTTGTAGAAATTAGTTTTTTGAACATTCTCTCTGATGTTAATAGCAAAGTGTTTTAATTAACCCAAGTCAAATTGTTTAATAATTTTAAATTTATTAATTTAATTTATTATTTATTTAATTATAAAAAATTAATTAATAATAATAATTTTTTTTTTTAATAAATCAGAAGCTATCATTAAACCAAACAATGTCTAGGAGGGCCAAAGCAGACCAAATAAAGTATAAAGTATTCCTCTAGATTTTAGGTACTAGACTAATCCTAGTAGAATCAATACAACCAATTCTATTATTCACATCAATCTTCACTTTTTTTTATACAACTGTTAAGGTATCAGCAGCTTGCTACTCCATAAAACAACATTCTTGATTTTCCAGCAGTCGAGAGGACTTGGTTCTTGAACTTACTAGCTTTGCCTCTTATAATATCCTGCAAATTCGTTGTCGCAATATTCCAGTTAAGCCAATCTTTAATCTGATTCCAGCAGTACATGATGTAGTGATAATCAAAGAACATATGGAGATTAGTTTCATCTTGTACACCACAGATGAGACAACAACTATTATCAACAATGTCCATCTCTTTGGCTTACACAAGTTCTTCCAAGCAATGTTTTCAGAGCTGCAAGTACTAACTTTACCTGTCTACAAGAAATCCCTGCAGATATTATTAATATCATGGATCACATTTTTTGGGACAATGATTATTTGGCTCTAGTCAAAAGACCAAAATTAATCAGAATGGCTCTTTCTGCAAATGATGATTGTCTAGAACTCCAAATTCTGATCCTGCTTATCATATTTTCCACCAGAATTTGACACTCTTTGGCAGTTACTCTTTTAAAGTTGATGGGCATCCCTAAGTATTTGAAGGGGAGACTACTACTTCTAAAACCAGAAGCCTCAAAGAGTCTCTGCTTATCAGTCTCCTTCATGCCACTACAATATATTTCAAATTTATTTTTATTAGGATACAGGCCAGACGTTCTGGAGAAGAGTTGTAACCCTTGAAGCATGATGTGGCTGGACATATAATCACCATGACAGAAAATTAAAATATCATCCGTGAAGCTTAGATGGTTCAGCTGTAAGGTTCCACACTTCTCATGGAATTTGAAGTTACCAAGGGATCCAATCGTCTTCAGAATTCTGGATAGGTATTCCATGACAATCACAAAGAGTAAAGGGGACATTAGGCCCCCTTGCCTCAAACTACATCTGGCTTCAAAAAAAACATGGATGAAACCATTCAACATGAGAGAGAACTTTGGATTCCTAATGCATTTCATAATAAGATTTATAAAGCTCCTAGGGAAATTAATACCAACAAGTATCTCTTTAATAAAATCCCACTCTATGGTGTAAAAAGCTTTCCTAAGGTCCAATTTGATCATATAATTATTTTTACAGTTTTTCCTCCCATTATAGTGTTTCACTAGATCTAGACAGATCATAATGTTGTTAGAAGATATGATCTCAGGTAAAATGTCCCTTAACCTATTACAAATAAGCTCAGTAGCAATCTTGTAAAGGATATTGTAACCGACTATGGGCCTATAGTCATTGGCAGTGTCAAGACATTTCACTTTAGGAACAAGGGTAAGAGTAGTAGTATTTATTTCCTTCAAGAGGGTCCCAGTATTAAGAAAGGGATCAACAGCTTTACATACCTCAAGTCCCACAAGGTCTCTATTGTACCCTAAAATTTCTCCTCTTATTTTTCTTCAAAACATTCTCATGAGGTTCTTATTTGCTCAAGTTGGCTCAAGAATTGATCAGACAAAATCTCCTTGTAAGTAATGGGTTCACAATAAGAGTTTTGTGTTTCACAAGGAAGATTGGGTTTCCCAGGTCTCAAGTTATTTTCATGGTTTCTCATAGGTCTTCAAGAATGCTCATGTCAAGTTTCAAGCCTTGCATCATAAGTTTTCTCAGTCAATTGCTCAGATGACTGAAAATCAACTATATTGGGTAAAAAGTAAATTATGGTCAACATACAGCCAAACCTCAA